ATAAAATTTAAAAATCTTATATATAAAATCTTTTGTAACATTATAAATGTCTTTACTGTCACCTTAAATTGATTTATTGTGAATTACTTAAATATGAATTATTTTCTTTAAAAAGGTAAATAAATAAATAAAACATGGAAACCTGATGATCCTCAACAAAGCATAATTAAATAAACTTAACTGATATTGAAATTTTAATTTAAGTAATTTTTTCCAGTATCCTCTTCTACCATCAGTAGTATACTATACACTGCAAAATGTAATAAATAAAAAAGGACACATTACATGCTGTCTTCTATTTGGTATACTAAAGTTCAGAGGGGAAAAAAAAAAAAAACGTCTAATAAAACAAGAAATCCTTCTTGAAAATTGCTGCGCAGGTGAAAGATCCCGTCTCCCATTATGATGATTCCCTGAATGACACGTCTTCCCTAAATAAATTATTAGTCTCATAATTGCCGTTATTACAGTGAAAGAAAAACAGTAGTCAAATCACTCTAACACTGAATATTTGCTCTCTCAAAACACACAAAAACAGATGCGTTCCGCAAATTCGCAAGCACACTAAAATGCACACTTCCTGCAAATTCCATCATTTTTCAAGTCATTATGGCTTTTCCTTCCCTCCGTCCTTTTTGCCTCAGCCCAGACAAATTGCAGTATGTGCTTCACAGGGAGGTGCTTATAAAATGGATGTAATAGCTACACTTACCCTACAAATTGTCCATATGTTTCAAAGGAGATACATATGTCTATTTACTGAGAGGTGATCATAATTACGAGGCTGGAAAATTGCGGCCATATAATTGTACATCAACCCCTTAAAAGTCTCTCGAACGCAATGCAAACTGCTAATGGAAAACAGTGTGGAGCTGAAATCTTTACTCAAACAAAGCTCATGACATGCTCCGATATTGTGCACAACATTAGACGAATGCTAAACGAAGGCACGCAGGTGCTAATCTGCTCTACCAAAGCAGGACACCGCTAGTTTTTTAGTCAAACAACAGAAGCGAAAATTAACACTCATCTAAATATGCAGAATAAATGAACAAAGCAGCTGTACAAACACAGTGTAAGAAAACCTGATCATAAATAAGCAAAACAGTTGCTTATCAAAAAAAAAAAAACGAGGGCGATGAAACGACCCTGCCGAACCATGAGCCAATCGCCTTCCAGATCTGTGATGAAGATGGCGGCCCACTTCAACTCCACACACAGAGGACTCAGTGCCTCATAAGAGGCCTTGTAAAATAAAGATTAAAAAATGGCTATACATTCACATGGTGTGAAGTAGCAACATTGCCCATTAGGCTTGAAAAACTTTCCCCACCCCTCCCAGGACACTTGAGTTTGAGTGCGGCGGTCCGAGAGCTAGGCATGCAACACCAGCGCGGGTCAACGTGAGGCCTGTGGAGCTGCCAGGCCCTATTGTGTGCCGAGATGTTAATTGGTTCTAATCCGGCGGTAGAAGCTGTTTTGGTAGCCTGACCCCGCGCCCTGAAGGACACCTTGGTGTGAAATACTAAAGGGCCCATTCAAGTGGCGCTGAAAGGAGGCATGGAGCATTCCAACACATTTCCATCTCTGCTGTGAAAGAGAAGCGCTGACGGCGGGGGGGGGGCACGGTGGGACAGGTGTTTTTTTGGGGCCGGCCGATTGCGTTGCGCTGAAACTGAATTAACGATACAAAAGCGCAGGCAAAGGTGCCAGGCTTGTCTCATTCACGCACATCCTCCTGTGTTTATTCTTTTTCTTGCTGAGCATCCGCACCGTGGTTTCCCATAAGACATATAAAAGAGAGCGCTAATTGCCCCATGTTTGAGATCAGATCGACACAAATGCAACTGTCATTAAACAGACAAACAAGGCTCGCACAATTCCGCCATGACACCCACTAAACTTACCCCACAAGACCCACATATTAAGTCTTGATAATGAATTCTGAGACATTGGGCGTC